TTTTTAAACTCTTGCCTAAAGCTGATTATAACAATTAATTTTAATTGAGAATTTATCAATTCATTGATTTTATTTTGATGCATATTGGTTTTATTTTGGAACCTTAGAACGTATCCCCTATGATTCCATACTAATTACCATTCCATATCCACGGTTTCTGTATTCGCGGAATATTTATGGAACGCATACATAATAAAGAGCTTTTACTGTAACTTAAATACTAAATGCTTCCATATAATATATTTTCTTATCTTAATCATATTCACTCTATTTTGTTTTTTATTTTACTACTCACCGTCTCCTTCGAAACAATTGTATTGGTCCAGTTCACACTCATTTGGGAAAGTTTTTTTATTGCCTTTTCCATTAATACCACAGACAGGTTGGTAGACGTCCAGACAAAGTGGACAATCTTCGTCTTTCTCTAATGATGCTGTTTCACCATAACTCCAGAATTGAGCCAAGAAAACGACTTCAGTAAAATAATGCAAAATTATTGTCGTTACAGTTCTATCAGGTACAAACAACAAAAATAATGAATAAAGAAATTACGTTACCTAAAAGTAACGCTGAAAGTGTCTTCATATTGCTTCTTGACAAGAGAGGACCTATAAATTAGTGAAGGTTTTACAGGTTTTACAGGTATATGCTAATTTAATATGTTTTTAATGCGTTTGGATTGATAATAAAAAAACAGAGCTGTCTCGAAGATTAAAAATTAAATGTTTTAAATTTGGCTAATAAAATGGTCCAAATACAAAAAAACATTTACGCAATTAGAGAATAAAGGTTAAACACTGCCCAATATAATATTTTCTCCAAAATAATTCTTTTTAGTCTGATTGTTCTGCTAATTCGAATGCACTTTATTATCACAAATACACTAAGAGGGATTTTTTTTACTGTCGACACTTTTTTCGTTCACTTCTAATACGTGGCTTTTATCAATGTAAATCACTTCAAATTTAAGAAAAAAGCACGCGTGTACATTTTTATCGACTACATTAGATAATAATTTTCTGAGAAAAGATTACAGATGAAGCCGAACAGTAAAGTATGCATTCGAAAATAAAAGGAGAAAAAGCCAGTGCGACATGTTTTACTTACTATAGAAGATTTATATAGTAATACGTGAAGAAAAACTCACATAGACTTTTACCAAACATAAATATTTTGTTGCCAACATTCTTATTCTGATTAAGTTTTAATGCTTTTCTTCTTATGGTCCAGTCAGTAGAGAATTTTCCCGACATAAATTGTTACGTAATGGTCGTTCGAGCTCTAATTGTTTATAAAGAAAATCACCCTCTTCTTTACAACAATTCATAAAGGGTTAAAAATGAATTTTTTCATTTGCCCCTAAGGGATATGAAGATCTCAACCTTTACGAAGAGAGTGAACCTATACGCAACTAAAAATTTTTGTCTAGAAAAATGTAATGACAATAATTTTTCATCTCTGTTGGAATAAACAATTAACAATATCTCATTAATTAATTTACGTCACAAAAACTCGTTCGATTCCAAATTCAAAAACCATCGTTTCAATGTGGCAAAATAATTATTTTTTTAACAAAATTAATCGGACCACGGTTGAAATTAAAGATACATACAATTTAGACATCTTTTAGAAGTGAGTTAGTTTAATATGAAATATTATTCTGAAAATTCATTTTTCAATTTTCAACCCACTACAAACTACCTCAAATTAATGAGGGAAAAATTGTTGCTGCTGTCCCACCCCCGCCGGGAATCGAACCCGGGACCTTTGGCTTTACTGTTGCGACCTCTCGTAGTTTAGTGGCCAAAACATTGGTGCGTAAAGCCAAAGGTCCCGGGTTCGATTCCCGGCGGGGGTGGGACAGCAGCAACAATTTTTCCCTCATTAATTTGAGGTAGTTTGTAGTGGATTGAAAATTCAAAAATGAATTTTCAGAATAATATTTCATATTAAACTAACTCACTTCTAAAAGATATCTAAATTATATGTATGTTTAATCATAGTATATTCAGTATATAGTTACATTAGTTCGACGGATCGTTAACCTTGTAGGTCGGTTGGTCGTGGTTGTTGTTGTCACCTCTCGTAGTTTAGTGGTCAGAACATTGGTGCGTAAAGCCAAAGGTCCCGGGTTCGATTCCCGGCGGGGGTGTGACAACAGCAACAATT